GGATTGGGACTCCATGGTGGATAATATATGCAAGAGCTCTAGATCTCTTTCGGTTCGTGAGACGGCCCTTAAAGTTTTAACCAGATGGTATTTAAACTCCGTCCAGACTACATACAATGTTTCCACCAAACATCCCCCTTTATGTTTCCGGGGCTGTGGCCGCACAGGCACTTTGGTCCATATGTTTTGGGATTGCCCGAACATATCCTTGATCTGGCGTAAGATATCTGAGGTGGCTACCTCACTAATCGGGCAACCCGATGCAGTTGTCCATACAGACCTGTTTATTGGGGGTTCATATCCCAGGGGTCCCTGATGCCACTCTGAGATTGCTACATACATTATGTATTGCCACTTTATGGTCCATTGCCCTGCATTGGCGGTCTAATGTTGTACCCTTGGACTCCGTTTTTACACAGAATTGACGCTGTAATGCTTATGGAACGTATTCATTATACACTACTGGATAAGATGCACTTATACGATAAAAAATGGGAGTCATGGAAGGATTGTAGACATTTATTGCATGATTGACAACATCCCCGGTAAGGAATGGCTGACATATATTGTTGATAGATGTATCACTCAATCTATTTTTATCATTTATGTATCTCATGCACTCATAAACTTTCTTTCTTCCTCTATCTTTCTTTTTTATGTTAATATACTTTTATGTATTGTACATTTCAAATGTGCCTTATATTTTTGTTGACAATATCACTTTCATACTGTGCTGTTGTTTTACTGTCTACTTATGTACAATAAAATCGTTTGTAAACAAAAAAAATATACTGCCCTGCATCCACCCACTTCTAATGGTGGGCACACATTAGGTCACACTTTGCCACATGTGCCAGTTCCAAGATTGTACAAATGTCTAAATAGTGGCATGCTTCAATATAAATTATTGTCCACGTATAAGTGGTACCCCATATGGAAAAAGGATGACACCAAGTCCCAAACTTTCTTGCCACTGCTCCCCATGTAGTCTGGGCATCTGGGGGGGGCTCCACGTGACTATCTTTTCCCTCGTAAATCCGAAACTTATAAGTATAGCCTGTTGCCCTCTCATAGGTCTTCTACATCTTGACCCCATATCTAGAACGCTTGCTGGGGAGAAATTGTTTGAATGCAAGGTGGACAGAAAATTATAATGAGGGACTCATCAACGCAGATTTTTTGCTGGGGAGTATAGACATCTGCAAATTTTTTGGTTAAGGTGATTTACAAGGGGCTGAATTTTGTAAAGCCGGTCAAATTCAGGGTCACCTCAAGGATGACAGAGTGTATTGTTGTTGAAAATGCATAAAACACATTATACTCTCATATCTATGCCTGGCCATGGCAGCAGAGAACACGGGCATATGGTGAATCGGGTCTGTGGACCAATACAATCACAATTTCATTTCTTTTAGTAATGCCCATGTTGAGGGTTAGGCCCCCAAAAAAATAATTAAAAATCGAAAACCGTAATGGGTTCCCATGCAAATGGTCTGGCAAGGTTTGAGTTTTGGTTGGCAGCGATACATTGTTGTGCATATAAAAATGCTTTGATCCACAATCAATGCATACATATCTTCGGTGAAAAACAGCTCCAAAAAATCAAGGGGAGTAGTTAAATTTGCTATTTCCAGCTGAATTCTGGGTTGGGCAGTGAATGGAGGAAGTACAAGTGCTGCAGAATTTGTGGGCTTCCAATCAGGATTTGCAAAGCACATCTGGAATTGTACTGCACTTATGGGGCTCACCACGTCACCAAGTGATACTCATGTGCTGGTATTATTATTATTATTGTTATACAGGATTTATATAGCGCCAACAGTTTGCTAAGCGCTTTACAATATAACGGGAAACAATACAGCAACAATGCAGTTCAATACAAGAGGGTTAGGAGGGCCCTGCTCCTTGGAGCTTACAATCTAAGCGGTATGTGAAAGACCAGGATGTACTAGACCGCTGGTGTTCGCCAGTTCACCAAAAGGTAGTGTGGCACTAGTAGTGGCACTCTGCTGCATATGAGAGCCATCATTTACCGGCAAGTGCTAACAGAGATCAGGCCAGATTCTGCGAACACTGCAATTTTGTGTGCAATAGATCAAGTGACAGTGACCTACTGACACTGCACTTGCTGGGGGAGAAGGGGGGGAGGTAAACACAGGTGCTGGCAGGTGCCCGGGGCTGATCCCGCTAACTCTGTGTTTTTGGGGATGCTATACTAATATGAACGCTGGTATAGTGCTGATCTGATCAAACGTATCGATCCGTTCAGACACTATACTAGCAATGGAGGTTTATTGTGTATGAGCGTTTCCTGGAAATCAAGGGGTTAAATGTGATGACTGGTGTAATGATGGGCAATCTGATGCTATCTGGGAGGGGCGTGAAAACCACGGGAGCGCGAATCACATATATGTGCCGCCCTGTAACAGTATTTCAGGAAGCGGACAGAAGCGGTTTGTGTTATGGCACTGCGTCACTTTAACTGACAATTGCACGGTCATGCAATGCTGCACCAAAATTACATTTACATACTTTTTTCCCCACAAATTGGGCTTTCTTTTGGTGGTATTTGATCGCCTGTGCGGTTTTAATTTTTTTGTGCTATAAAAAAAAAATAAAAGACCAACAATTTTGAGAAAAAAAAAACAATATTTTGGACTTTTTGCTATAAAACATGTCTAGTAAAAAATTTTAAAAATCAAATTTCGGTATAAATTTCGGCCAAAATGTATTCTGTGACATGTCTTTGCTAAAAAAAATCCAAATACGTGTAAATTAATTGGTTTACGTGAAAGTTATAGCGTTTACAAATGGCGGTATAGATACTGGATATTTAATTTTTTTTATACTAATAATAATGGTGATTGGTGACTTATGGCGGCAATCAGCGACTTATGGTGGCGATCAGCGACTTATGGCGGGACTACGGGACTGCGGCGGACATTCTGACACTGGGAGGGAACTGACTTGGGGTCACTGACATCCCCAGTGACACCAATACAGTGATCAGTGCAAAAACAAAACCACTGACACTGTAATAATGGCACTGGGGAGGAAGGGGTTAACATTTGGAGACACTCAAAGGGTTAACTATGTAAGGGGAGTGTTTCACTAGGGGGTGGGGGGGTGTACTGCTCTGTTACACCCTGTTCCGGGAGGCTGTGTCCAGCGATCCCGGAACAGTGAGCTGAAAGCTGACAGGGAGGAAAGCTCCATTGAAAACAATTGCCGGCACTGGCGGGTAATCACCGGCCGGGTCCTGGTGATTGACACCAACGGCCGTGATCGGTGCCCCAGATAGGGCAGCCACGCGCCTCACATGTTCCCCCTACCCCGGAAAGCAGGATCACGTTTATATACGTCTTGTAGCAGTATATGTACTGCGGGCAGTCCCCTAGTGGTTAAAGATGCTGTCCCCCACATCCTTAACAACTGATGACTCATCAGCTGTCAGTGGGTTTCCCCAATGACAGCAGAATGTAAACAAAAGAAATGAAAAATTAAGAATGAAAACAGTGTGGGGTCCCCCCTTATCCATACCAGGCCCTTCAGGTCTGTTATGGATTTTAAGGTGAACCCTATGCCAAAACTAAAAAAAAAAATGCAGTGGGGCCCCCCCAAAATCCAGACCAGACCCTTATCCGAGAATGCAGCCAGGCAGGTCAGGAAATGGGGGGGCGAGCAAGCGCCCCCACCTCCTGAACCTTACCAGGTCACATGCCCTCAATATGGGAGGGTGCTTTGGAGTAGGGGGCTCTTCCCCACAACCCTGGGCTGTGGCTGTGGGGCCAGCGATCAGGGGCCCCCAGATCCTGTCCCCCCCATGTGAATGAGTATGGGGTTTTTGATGAGTCCTCTATTACAAAACAACAAACAAAAAATAGATGTCCCCCGAAATAGATCCAAAGGCAATCATGGTGAACGCCAGCCGAAGAGAAAAAAAAAAAAGCTCTGCACCCAACGAAGGCTCCTGTCATTTGTCAGCTCAACCGTCTGACAGTTCCTAAATAACTAAGGAGCAGGGCCACCCAATGATGTTACCCAGTGATCCCGCAGCCTTGTGACATCATCAAGCCAGCATGCCGGTTGATGACGTCACAAGGGGGGGTCACCTGGTGATGTCATCGGATGTCTCCCCCCAGCCCCTTAGTTATTTAAGAACTGTCAGACAGTGGAAGCCTTCGTCTTGTGCGGAGTTCCTTTTTTTTCTCTCCCGGTCGGTGACTAGTGTTCATTGTGATTGTCGTTGGATCTACTTCAGAGCACTTTTTTTTTTTTTTTTTAATAAAGGGCTTGTTGTGTTTTTACTCACTTGTATGAGTAGGGAATGAGTTTGGTGAATGAGTAGGGATACTATGTACCCCATACTCATTCATATGGGGGTTGGGTTTGGGGGCCCCTTGTTAATGGGGGCTTTTAGAGTCCTATAAGTCCCCCACCTGCAGACCCCCACAACCACAGCTCAGGGTTGTGGGGAAAAGGCCCTTATCCCTATCATTATGGGGACCAGGTGCTTTGGGAGTGGAGCCCTCCTCCCCCAAAGCACCCCACCCATGTTTAAGGCATGTGGCCTTGTATGATTCAGGAGGGGGTGCGCACTCATCCCCCTTTCCTGACCTGCCAGGCTGCATGCTCAGATAAGGGTCTGGTATGGATTTTGGGGTGGACCCCAAGCAGTTTTTTTTCTATTTTGGCATGGGGTTCCCCTTAAAATCCATACCAGACCCAAAGGACCTGGTATAGCTGGGGGGACCCCACACTCAGGGGCGGACTGACCATTCGAGCACTAGGGCACTGCCCGAGGGCCCGGGGTCAGTAGGGGGCCCCATGAAATGCCACTGTTATGTTTTATAGGCTTTTTTAGGTGTACTTTGAGTGTGGGCAAGGACACAGGGACCCCATGATCCCCTATTGCCTGGGGGCCCCATGAGTTGTCAATTCGCCCCTGCCCACACAGTTTTTTTTTTTTTATTGTTTATTGCCGACATTCTTTTGTTTACATTCAGCTGTCAGTGGAGAAACCCATAAGGACGTGGCAGACAGCTTGCTGGCCCGCTCCTCAACAACCAGCTATTCTTCACACAAAATTTGGATTGATCGATACATTTTCACCTTATTCAAATTCAAATCGTTCTTAAAAATAGGAATTCGTTAGAAAATGAATAAACGAAACTTAACTAAAAAAATTCTGAAACTAATCCATAAAACAAAATTAGTAACATAACAAATTTATCCAAAACAAAACTAAACAAATGTTTCCATTCTGCACCTCTACAACACCGTACTGAGTAGTTAAGAAATTCTTGTAGGGCTCCCCTCGAAGGAGCTGCTGGTTAAGATGGGTCACAGTTCTTAGCCTCAACCTCCTCAAGATCCTCCATCTCCTCTGACACACAAGGTTGAAAGAATACAAGGAAACACAATGAAACACAGCAAATGATTCCTGTTACCCAGTGCTAGGGTTATCTTGAAAACCAGTTAAGCAGTTAAAAAGAGTAAGTACAAGCAAAGTAATGATAGTGATAACCCAGTCCCAACTGCATAAGACATCCAGTCAGCATAAACAGTAGCAAGGCCACCCCAGGATGCAATAACAGGCAAATGAGGGAAACTTGTAAAATGAATGGTAGGGGCAGTTTCTAAGGTTAGTCTTCTGCCAGCTAACATTGGGGCCCTTTAGATGAGCACTGGCGCACTCTGGGTAGCCCTTAGATCTGCATGCAGTTAAGTGGCAAGAGTGCAATGTAATCTGTGGTAGGCAAGCAAATAGGACCAGAGGTGGTGTTGATGCACGACAGCCTCAGTTCACAAGCAGTAATAGTGTGGCTAAGACAATGAACGTAATAGAATGCAGAATGGATGGATGCTGAAAGAATATTATATAGGCCCTGCTCTTAGTAACGTTTCTACTGCTGACAGTGCAAAGCGGGCCAGAAGCCCGCTTGCCAACTCTCCAGGATGGCAATAGGCATTTGGCAGTGAAGAGGCTCCCTTCGGTATGGTTCTGATGCTGCTGAAATCCACATGGCAGAAAGAAGAAGCTGGCAACTCTCTGGTCTCTCGGTGGCACTCCCATCAGGTCAGCAAGGCTGATGAATGCGACTGGTACTGGTGACGTCACTCCCCATCTTGGGCTCTTTAGGGCTGCTGGATCAGGACCTAGCCACTGTCCCATTTGGACCACCACGGTCATGCCATTTAGCAGCCACTTCTTTCCCCCAGTTTCCACCATTGTTATTGGGGGAGTGGAGAGAGTAGGAGGCAGGACTGTTCAGCAGTGAACAGAGGGCTGGAGCAGGAACTCCCGGAATTAACCTTTCAAGTTTACCAGCAGGTGATTGGTTGCTAGAACACACAGTGGTCCTAGCAACCAATCACTTGCTGGTTAATATGAAAAGTTAAGCCCAGCAGCGCCTGCTTCCACTCCTGTCCTTCATCCAATGCTGTGCTTTGCCTCCCGCACTCAGTCCAGAATTGTCCTGCCTAACACTCTCCACTCTGCATAAGGTAGGAGAGTGAAGGAGGGCAGAGGAAACTACTGTGGGAGAGGGGAGGGGGGTGATGTGAAAGGGGGCAGTGCTGTGTGTGTGAGGGGGTGTGATGTGCACGGAGTGGATGTCAAGAGCACACTACTGTTGGGGGGAGTGCTGTGGGGGGTGTTGATCTAAAGGGGGCAGTTTTGTGAGAGGATGTGAAGGGGGGCACTGCTGTGGGAGGGGGGTGATGTGAAGGGGGGCAGTGTTGTGGGGGGTGATGTGAGGAGGGCAGAATGCATTACTCTGGAAGGGTAGTGATGTGAGAGGGGTGCAGTGCTGTGGGGGGTGATTTGAAGGGGGCAGTGCTGGGGGGGATGTGAAGGGGGGCAGTGCTGTGGGGGGATTAAGTGAAGTGGACAGAGCATACTACTATGGAGGGGTCGTGATGTGAGAAGGGAATGTAGGGGAGTGATGTAAATGGCGGCAGTGCTGTAGGGAGTAATGTAAAGAGGGGCAGTGCTGTGGGGGGGTGTTCATGTGAACGGGACAGAGGACAATACTGATGATTGGGGGTGAGGATTTTAAAGGGGTTGAGGACACTATTTTGAAGGGGGTGGGGGTGATGTGACAGGGGGCCTGAGAACACTACTCTGAAGGGAATACTGTGATGGGAAGTGGGGAACTGTAATGTGTGCGAGACTGAGGACATTGATGTAAGAACGGGATTGGGACATAGGAGAAAAGAGCTGTGATCAGGGGTGGACTGACAACTCATGGGGCCCCCGGGCAACAGGGGATCATGGGGCCGCCCCTGTGTCCTTGCCCAAACTCAAAAAGCCTATGAAAAAGGTACCAGGGGCATCTCATGGGGCCCCCTACTGACCCCGGGACCTCAGGCAGTGCCTGAGTTTCTAAATGGTCAGTCCAAGCCTGGCTGTGATGTAAAGGATCTGCGTCATCACACAAAAAATGCGACTCAGACCTCTGCTGGAAGAAAATGTTACTGATGCCTCCATGAATTTGAATTAAATACCCCTGCTATATACTCTGTGCAAGTTTGTTTTCGTTCTTCTTCTGATATATTCATTTATGAATGAACTTGCCTTGTTAAAGCAGAACTAAACTCTCAATCAACATTAACTATTTTTAATCTTTATGCTGCTAGCATTAGTAAATAGATAGGAAGGTGTATATTGTATTTACTTTTTTTAAACTTAAAACTTCAGTTGCTTCCCGGCTTCTGCCAAAATGATGTCATACATCCCATGAGTCTTCATTCTTTTTTTTTCTGGAGTTGGGAGGAGGGACTTTCTCAGGTAAGCACACCCTACTGTCTGCAAGGCCAAACAAGGGGTAGATGGATTCCAGGAAGTAAATGAAAATGCATTATCTGCCCTTACTAAAGATGGCCACTGATAGAACTGGGTGTGTTACAAAGTGATTTCTCAACAAACAACAAAATAAAGCATGGAGACATAAATGGATGGGTGAGTTTGCTTTTGAATGCTAAAAATGAGTTAAATAGCATTTCCAGCTGGTGGTGCTCAGATCCAGTTAAATTCTGCTTTAATAAAGCACTCTATAACTACTCATCCTCCGAGCTCAAAGGAGCAAACATTTGGCTCATGCCATGATTCAGTTTTAAAGTGTGAAGCTTGTTCATCTAAGGATTAACAGTAAGGATGTATTTTTGGCATTCTCTTAATGTTTGATAATCACTGTATTTTAGGAAATTCAATTATCCTCCTAATGGCCTCTGGGGAATGACACATTATGGTAACACTGAGCCTGACAATTATGTCAGGCTATCAGGTAAGGAATGTGGGCACCAGCTTATTTGTATAATTCGCTGCTAGAAAGACCTAAACAAATATTCATGAGAGAAAATGTCAGCCTTCTGGCCAACTGCAGGACAGCACATAACATGACTTGTGTGCATCAGTGATGCTTTTTTTAGATTCCAATCTACTAAACCTAGCTACATGTGCATCTAGTCGGGTTCATTTTTGCAGTCTGATCTTAAAGAATTTCTCTTTTTTTAGTTTATTTGATCAATTAAAAAAAAACACTACTGCTGAAGCCACAGGGCCTGAAGTAAACTCATGTTATGAACATTGCCAGGTCATTTCTGGTGGCACTGCTACTGAATAGATGTACCTAGGCTAAGTTGCTAAAGATACTGTCCGAAAGTGCTAATGTGCACTATAATTCCATTACAGCCTACACAAGGTGTGACAGTTTAACTTCTGGAATGCCCGCTGAGTAGCACAATGGTGGTGAGTCACATAGCCAATTGTACTAAAGCGGGTATTGACATGTTCTAACTTGCACTTGCCTGGGTCACAGACCAGATGACTCAGTCTTTACTGAGTCATCTGGTAGAAGACATAACGTGTGTCCGTTGTTCTGTTTGCAGAAAATGAGTTACAGGAATCTGGAGTAGCAGATTAACATCAAACACCATTTTGTGTGAAAATCGGCAAAAGTGCAAGTGAAACTTTAGTTCTGTTACAACAGGCTTATGGTGAACATTCCATGAAGAAATCAAGAGTTATTGAATGGAATAGGCGGTATAAGGAGCGGTGGGAAGATGTTCACAATGACGCAAGAAGTGGGCAGCCAAAAATGCAAAGGATAGATGCAATTGTTGACAGCGTGAGAACCCTTATATGTTCAGATCAAAGATTGAGTGTGCAAATGATGGCAGAAGAATTGAGCATGAACTGGGAAACAGTATGGCAGATTCTTAAAGAGGATTTTGGAATGAGAAAGATTTCCGCAAAGATGGTACCTTGAATCTTGACAGAAGATCACAAAGAATGTCAAATCTTTGATAGGGTTATTACTAATCCATTCCGGGAATTTAGTTCACACCTCATATATTAAACTGGATTAAAACATACATTTTAACAGAATCCAAAAACATAGTAGATGTGCAACCTTACGCTCTAAAAGGCGCTTACTATTTAAGCAGTCATTTGTAAGTGTAGGATCCAGTGGCAGTCAAATGAGAATCTTTCAGAAGTTTTGCAGAGCAGAGCAGTTGGGGAGTAAAAAGAACATGAAATACACTATATTGCCTGCCTTTACATGCACATGAACTTTCATGGACTCACAAGTCTTAGTCCGTAGGGTTCAATATTTAGTTGGCCCACCCTTTGCTGCTATAACAGCTTCAACTCTTCTGGGAAGGCTGTCCACAAGGTTTAGGAGTGTGTCTATGGGAATGTTTGACCATTCTTCCAGAAGTGCATTTGTGAGGTTAGGCACTGATGCTGGACGAGAAGGCCTGGCTCACAGTGTCCACTAATTCATCCCAAAGGTGTTCTATCAGGTTGAGGTCAGAACTCTGTGCAAACCAGTCAAGTTTCTCCACCCCAAACATGCTAATCCATGCCTTTATGGACCTTGCTTTGTGCACTGGTGCGCAGTCATGTTGGAACAGGATGGGGCCATCCCCAAACTGTTCCCACAAAGTTGGGAGCATGAAATTGTCCAAAATACCTTGGTATGCTGACGCCTTAAGAGTTCCCTTTACTGGAACTAAGGGGCCAAGCCCAACCCCTGAAAAGCAACCCCACACCATAATCCCCCCTCCACCAAACTTTACACTTGGCACAAAGCAATCAGGCAAGTATTGTTCTCCTGGCAACTGCCAAACCCAGACATGTTCATCGGATTGCCACACAGAGAAGCGTGATACATCACTCCAGAAAACACATCTCCACTGCCCTAGAGTCCAGTGGCGTTGTGCTTTATACAGTGCTTAATACAGTCAGGTCCATAAATATTGGGACATCTACACAATTCTAACATTTTTGGCTCTATACACCACCACAATGGATTTGAAATGAAACAAACAAGATGTGCTTTAACTGCAGACTGTCAGCTTTAATTTGAGGGTATTTACATCCAAATCAGGTGAACGGTGTAGGAATTACAACAGTCTGCATATGTGCCTCCCACTTGTTAAGGGACCAAAAGTAATGGGACAATTGGCTTCATAGCTGTTCCATGGCCAGGTGTGTGTTATTCCCTCATTATCCCAATTACAATGAGCAGATAAAAGGTCCAGAGTTCATTTCAAGTGTGCTATTTGCATTTGGAATCTGTTGCTGTCAACTCTCAGATGAGATCCAAAGAGCTGTCACTATCAGTGAAGCAAGCCATCATTAGGCTGAAAAAACAAAACAAACCCATTAGAGAGATAGCAAAAACATTAGGCGTGGCCAAAACAACTGTTTGGAACATTCTTAAAAAGAAGGAAATCACCGGTGAGCTCAGCAACACCAAAAGACCCGGAAGACCACGGAAAACAACTGTGGTGGATGACCGAAGAATTCTTTCCCTGGTGAAGAAAACACCCTTCACAACAGTTGGCCAGATCAAGAACACTCTCCAGGAGGTAGGTGTATGTGTGTCAAAGTCAACAATCAAGAGAAGACTTCACCAGAGTGAATACAGAGGGTTCACCACAAGATGGAAACCATTGGTGAGCCTCAAAAACAGGAAGGCTAGATTAGAGTTTGCCAAACGACACAACATTTTGAATGGGCTGAAATTACCCTGCACTGCACCAAACGTAGTGAATGCAGTACGTTTTGAAACACACTACAACTGTATCGCATGATACAAAAGAACAATGTGATCTGGTGCGGGCAAACGCACTGGGTTTGGGGTGTCATTAGCTTTCTATCGACACCTGCATTTTAAACAAAGTGCTATTTGCATGAGGTCTGAAGTGCGTTCCTCTGCAGGCATGGTGTGAACCGGCCCTCAAGCTAAACCTAAACACAAGCCCCTTCATCCTTGACTAAAACAATAATTTAACTGAACCCTTAAACTAATACTTAACAGTAAACCAACCCACATCTGCACTATTCTCCCCTTATCCCATTCCAGGATCAACTTTTCCCAAGGCAGGCAGACCCTTACCTGAAAATTACCTTTCACCTGGCTGGACATTGATTGCTCTGGAGCTATGTGATAATTGTGTTGCAGATAGTGCTGAGAATATGTTTTCTCCTGTAATTGTGTTGCATGTCTGGAGTAGATGGAAGTGAAAGCGAGTGATTTTATACTCCCCCTTCTGTGGTTGCCATTCTGTCTAGTAAAGCTCTGAGTGTAACAGATCTAGTTTGTTTGACACATTCTGGCTGACAGCGTGATGGGATTTTGACATATTTCCATCCTGTTAGCTTTTTCGCCTTGGCAGCAATTATACAGTTTAGGTGTTTGAAAATGTGCAGATGTCCATTCCCGAGAATGTCTTCATTTATAGCCCCTATTGGTTCCTGACACATACAGCTTAATAAAATCAGCTCGCCCTTAATTCCATGAATTTTCTATAAGAGTTCAATAAAAAAGCTCTTAATTCAATGACACATTTACTACAAGCACGATCTATAATATATATGCGACATCTGCCTTGTATAAGCCATCTGTTATTATATCATTCATTAGAAGGTTTACATTGTGATTTTATGTAATGATTAAATTGATCATATATTTTTTGTTCAGACGTGCTCTCTGTTTTTTGGAATTAGAGCTCTTAAAACTATGAAGATTATATCTATATTGAGTTTAGCTTCTCAATAACAGTATCAAGAAAAAAAAATCAAAACAACATTTTTTCATCAATAATACAACGAAAGCCTATCAAGATGTTTCTTTATGATTGACAGATTGGATCTCATGCAATATGTTCAACATTTAGTGTTTCAATATAATTAGCTAAATCTCAGATAGAAAGTTTTTCTAGATAAAGGCAACAAGAGAATTTACCCCAGATCTCCCAGAAAGCAGACCCACTATGAGACATGTCACCAATGGAGGCTGACAGCTGAGGGAAGTACCTGTTAGTACACCCTTGGAACACAGGAGGATAAGTGACCGTTTATTAAAGAGGATAGCCTTTTCTAGCAAGATTGGTAATTACATGAAATGGGCATAGAAAATCCTATTTTAACTTGATGAAAAATCATTTCTTTTTTAACAAATATTGGTTGGTGAGTAGCCTGCTGTAGTGTGGTCACAAACATGCTAATACACAAATGGGTAAAAGTTTTTGGATACCTAACCAGAAGACCTTGCTTGCAGTCTGCATTTCTAATTCATCCCAAAGGTGCTCAAAAATGTATTAACCAAGTATTTAAAGGGAAAGTCATACTGGAAGAGAAAAGAGCCTTCCTTAAACTATTGGAGGAGGGTGAGAAGGAGGGAGAAGCAGTCCTAGGCTATGGGGCTGTGTGTTTCTATTGATGTACACAGCGTAGGCAGGGCACCAGCCTAAACAGGAATATACAGTGGGGAAAATAATTATTTGATCCCCTGCAGAGTTTGCCCACTTACAAAGAAATGAAGGGTCTATAATTTTTTATCATAGGTGTATTTTAAACGATAGAGACAGACTATCAACCAAACATCCAGATAAAACACATAATACAAATGTTTTAAATTGAGTTGCAGTTCAGTGAGTAAAATAAGTATTTGATCCCCAAGAAAAACATGACTTAGTACTTGGTGGAGAAATCGTTGTTGGCAAGCACAGAGGTAATACTTTCCTTGTAGTTGATTACCAGGTTGGCACACATCTTAGGAGTGATTTTGGTCCACTCTTTTTTACAGTTCTTCTCTAAATTCATAAGGTTTCTTGGCTGTCGCTTGGCAACTCAAAGTTTCAGCTCCCTTCATAAATTTTCTATAGGATTAAGGGGTGGAGACTGCATGACCTTAATATGCTTCTTCTTCAGCCACTCCTTTGTTGCCCTGGTGCTATGTTTTGGGTCATTGTCATGCTGGAAGACCCATCTATGACTTATCCTCAGTGTTCTGGCTGAGGGGGGAAGGATGTCATCCAAGATTTTGCAATACATGGCCCCGTCCAATGGTCCCTCAATGCAGCAAAGTGACCTGCACCTTTAGCAGGGAAACAGCCCCAAAGCATAATGTTTCCACCTCCGTGCTTGACTGTAGGGAAGGTGTTCTTAGGGTCATAGTCAGCATCTTTCTTCCTCCAAGCACTGCAAGTCGAATTAATGCCAAAGAGCTCGATTTTGGTCTCATCTGACCACAGACTTTTTCCCAATCTTTCTTTGAATCATTTAGAAGTTCATTGGCAAGTTTCAGATGGGCCTGTACGTGCCTTCTTGAGGAGAGGGACCTTGTGGGCGCTGCAGGATTGAAATCCATGACAGCGTATTGTGTTACCAATGGCTTGTTTGGTGACTGTGGTCCCAACTGCCTTGAGATCATTCACAAGCCCCTCCCATGTAGTTCTGGGGTGACCCCTCACTTTTCTCATGATCATCCTTACCCCATGAGATTAAATCTTGCATCTTTTCTCATCAAGCTTCTTGCTGATGGTCTTGTAACCTATTCCAGGCTTGTGCAGGTCTACAATCTTGTCCCTGATGTCCTTTGACAGCTCTTTGGTCTTGCCCATGTGGTGAAGTTTGAAGAGATTCTGTGGACAGGTATCTTTTATACACATAACGAGTTGTCTTTAGGAGTACCTTCTTAAATTGATAGGTCTAATCTGTGTACCACATAAATATATAGCCAATCTGTGGGAGCCAGAATTATTGTTGGTTGGTAGGGGATCAAATACTTATTTTACTCACTGAACTGCAAGTCAATTTATAGCATTTTTATCTTGTGTTTTTTCTGGATTTTTTGTTGATATTCTGTCTTTATCATTTAAAATACACTTATGATAAAAATTATAGACCCTTCATTTCTTTGTGAGTGAGCAAACATACAAAATCTGCAGTGGATCAAATAATTATTTTCCCCAC